GGAGATGAGCACCGCCCCCCTAGAGTCGGATTTGACTAGCTTTCAAGCAAGGGAAATCTTTATAGCTTAACAGCAGAAATCAGCTGGCTATTAGAGATTCTGGCCCATTGGTACAGATGAAATAATGGCCAGTTATCGGTGGGTGACAGCAACCTCGAGGAGGCCATATATGGGCTCCTGCTGCCTTAGCCAGAGGCCTAGTGGAACAGCCCCATCTTACAGGCCCTGCGGAATTGATGAAGATCCCGCAGGGCCCTGATCTCAATAGGGAGCATGTTCCACTAGGCAGGGGCCAGGGCCTTTCAAAGCCTTATACGGCCAGGGACCACCAGGGGATGTTGATCCTTAGAGTGTAATGCTCTTTGAGGTGTATACAGGAAGAGGCAGTCCCTCAGATGTGTTGGTTCCAGGCCATATAAGACTTTGAAAGTTATTACCAACACCTTGAAGCTAATTCGGTACCCGACTGGTAACCAGTGCAGCTGACGGAGTACATGCCACCTGTGAACCTGCACAGGTGTTGACATCAGCAGTTGTGCCACTGCGTTTTGCACCAGTTGTAATATCCAGGTCAACCTCAAGGGTAAGCCTGCGTAGAGTAAATTGCAGTAATCAAGCCTGGAAGTGACCATTGCATGGGAACCTATTGGGAAAGACCTCCTTTAGCTATAGATTGAGCTTTGCCAAATAATTTTTTGTTAGGCTAGATACAGACCAGCTACCTGGGCATGGTACTTTGATTGGATTCTTAGAGCAGTAGCTGTGAAGCAAATTGATCCTGACTGATTCATCTCTCCTTCCTTTTGTGCCAAGGCTTCACCTTTCCATGGTCCAACTAGCTGATCATTATATTCCATGACTGATACTTAGTAAAGTAAGCACAGTCTTCTTCTGTCTTTCACCCAGCCAATCTAATTTCCTTTGTCTTTCTCACGCACCCTCTGAGTGAGGCTCACTTAATTCTTTTGGTAAATAAGCCTTTAGACAGGGGGAGACATTTCTCCAAAATGGTATAACAGGTGAAGATTGAGATCACAAAATGAAGGGTCATGACAACAATCTGGCCACTACCTTCTTTTACAGGGGCCTTCTTTAAATAAGTACAAATGACAAGTTCCTTCAAATATCTAGGAGACATCCAGTTGGACAACAAAATATTAAATGATCTTCGGTGGGGGGCTCTCTCACCCTATCCTGGCAAGATTTCAACAGCCAAGTTGGACAAGGTTCAGGATCAAAGAGGGGGGCCCGTTGTAACACCTCAACTCTCTCAAGACTTAGGAATTGCAAACTGAAGCTATCCATAAAAGGCTCAGATGGTGCCACAGACACCACCACTACTTGAACTTATTGCAAATTATCATCAGAGTAGGTTTGAGAGCATTTGTAAGCAAAGAACTATGCAAAAATATCACAACTAATTGCCAATTTCTTCTTCTTTTGAGACTCTACAGTCAGAGTCATCAGTTGCACTAGAGGTGATTCTGCTAATACAGTGAAATAACACTTTTCCCTGCTATCATCACCACCTCATAGACCCTTAAATGACCTCTGTAGCATGCCCTGTTAGATTCAGCCTGATTTTTTTATCAGCAGCATTCTAAATGTCTCTCCAGTAAACCATGGTGATCAAAGCCTGTCGTAAGGTGATGGGACAGATTCCTAAGGAGCAGCCCTGTCTATTGCCTCCTAAAGCTTCATCAGAGTTACTATTTGAACTTTCAAACTACCCCAGGCCCTCCCCAAATCTGAACAGATCCATCAGTCTTTGGAGGTGGACCATTCTAAGTTGTTCCCCATTCCTTTTGGAGGGGGGCTGTTAGCAGATAGTGGTCTGACCATGGCACAGGCTGAATATCTAGCCCCTATCCCAGACCACCAGACAGTTATTGAATATAAAATATTAAATCCAGCATATGTCTTTTGTAAACATGTTGAACAGAACAATGAGCCTGGGAGTAACCAAGTCTGAGACCACCTTTGCTGGTGAACTGGGTGGATTGTACAACAGTGAAGAACCCAAGTATGAGGAATGTACAATCAAGGCCAGCAACAATTTGCAGTGGAAACCTAAGTAAAGAGAGAGACTCATGGAGGATCGTGGCTACCCTCCCTCCCCATCCTCCAAAATTCCACTTAACGCATATACTGCTGTTACAGTTTTCTATTTGTGCAGCATCAAAGGTGTGCATTGTAGTTATAATTGAGGATGAAGGAGTTTCCATTCTCTGGTAACCACTGAATATGGCAGGATCAGTCTTCAGAACAATCTGGCCAAGCAGTGAAATTATAAAGGTTGGGAGAATTTCCAGGAACTCCAGGAGTCATTGTTTTTCAAAATTGTTTGCACTTCAACCCCCATCCCTTTGCTGTGTTGGGGATCATGTGATCTTCATGGCCAAAAAGCCACATTGGACAGGGCTGCAGTGAGAAGCAGAATTGTGCAAGATTGCCTCTCTTCCCTCTTGCATAAGGTGGTAGGATCCATCCTCTACCAATTATAGGCCTAGCATCCCTGGAAACCCATTCAGAATCTCTCAGGAGAGCCAACTGTCTTTATGCAAGAACTTGCCCCTAAAAGAAGCCCAAGTAAATATGTAACAGTTGAGCAGGACTTGAACCTCAGGTCTGCTTATTCCTATGGAGTTAGGTCTTAGATGCTTCACTGAGTTATTTTCCAACATGCTGTCTTTCTTAAATCACTGTTTCATGGGATGCTCAGCCACAGGCTGGGAACCTCTACTAGGAACTGCACTTATGCAGGATTTCCATGACTGGTGACAGGGCTTTCTAGGGTAGAGCCCAGATATAGTGACTATATCATGCGCTCCTCTGTGCTGAAGATGAAGTTAGCCATGGGTGCTTCAGCCCCTTTTCATCTTCTTTGCTGCTGTTTGAAAGCCACTCCATTGTAGGCAGCAGTTACTTAGGTGGCTGGGGACCTGGAAGGTAGTGTTCTGCTGAGATAGTCCAAGCTGTTGCTGCCTTTTGCTGTAGCTTGGCTCTTGCTTCAGCCTCTGTTTGATTCAGCCCCTTTACCAGGCAGCCAATTAGAGAGGAATCCCACTGTGTGGGTTGCTCCAAACAGCCCCCTTGTCAAAGTCTGGGCTAACCCTTGACCTGTTGCAGATGGGCTAGCACTGCCTCCACCAGGTTCAGAGGAGCCTGTAGGGAGACAGAGCGGATGGAAAGATGGGACTGTGCACCTCGGAGCTGTAAAGGAAACCAAATTTATTCATTCTTTTTTTTAAAAAGACCCAATCTTGGACATCAAACTCCACAAGCAGGGCATCTTTCCAGCTCTTGAATATTAATTTCAGAAGAGGCTACAGAGAGGGCAGAGCTACAAACAGCCAGTTTTTTTGTTTTGAACACTACAGTTGCTGATGAAATTGGAAACAGCCTGAACTGTTAGATTCACTGGTATGGTACAGCCGGGAATCTCTATAATGTAGCAGAGTGTAGTAGGCTACACACAGCAGCAGCTTCTCAGTACTGTGTATGCTAGCAAAGTTACCGAGTTACACTGAGCTACTTGTCAGTTTCAAACTAATAAGAGTCCTTTATTCAAGGAACTACATTCTAGATAGTGTAAATTGAGAGGGATAGAATCTAATCTAACTAGCTAGGATGAATACAGATGCAGAATGCATGTCCTGCATCCATGGTGGACAAAGATGGAGACCGTGCGCTCCTTCTTTGTGTGTGTGAGAGACAGAAGTGTCAAGCCAGAAGGAAGGCAGACAGGTTACAGGCCCAGTTCTTGAATATGTCATTTTAACTGTGTGTGTGTGTGGGGGGGGGAACCTACAGCTGAAAATATTTTCCATTGAATCCAATGGAAACTAATATAGTATCGAATAAAGAACATAGAGGTGTTTGAACTATACAAAATGAAATGCAAACACCAATAAAATGGTTACTTGTCTGTATTTGGGCCTATGGATTTGTTTGTTTGTATTTTCACAGTGCACAGCTGACATGTTATCCTTTGAGGTTGTAAATCTGTTTTCAGGGCTACCTTGTTTTGCTGCCAGTATGTAGACTCCAGGTATTTTTATCACTGAGAATGTGTGATTCTTTCCTTCAGTTAGCACATTCAGTTCTGACTAGAATGTGGTTTTATAACAGTCACAAGCTCCTGCTGATTAGTGTGTGGCCACAAGCAATTACCATGCTCTTTGCCATGTTGTTGTGTGACCCCAAGTTATTAAATCTTTTTTAAAAAGCTGTTTAGAGGCAGTTCTTTGTTGTGCTCTGCAAAAACAGTGCGAAGAGATAGCTAACAGTGTTTCAAGGCAAAAACTGAGGAAACTTCATGTCAATCTAAACATTAACCCCAGCTATGTTTTTTAAAATATCATCTTTGTCCTCACTCTTTGCTGGCTGAGATGAGATTTGACCTCCTTTGCCACACCATTGCAGAGGTGGTCTTTGGGTAATATTAAAACAGGTTGCCAACCAGTAAAGCTAACCTTCCACCCACACCATCCAACTGTTTGGACATCTATTTATTAGGGATTATGTAGAGTTTCCTGATCCAGCACTGAAGCACATAGCCATCCATTTTACTAAAAAGATAAAAGAAAGGTGCCAACAACCATGTAGTCCTGCTGGAGGATTGAAAACTATTTGGTATTTTTATAGGAAGAGAGCCAGTTTAGTGCAGTGGTTAAGAGCACGGACTCTAACCTGGGAGAACCAGGTTTGATTCCCCACTTCTCCACATACAGCTGCTGGTGTGACCTTGGGTCAGTCATAAGTTCTTTCAGAGCCATTCTCTCAATAACAGTTCTGTCAAGAGCTCTCTCAGCCCCACCTACCTCACAGGGTGTCTGTTGTGGGGAGAGGAAGGGAAGGGGATTGTAAGCTGCTCTGAGACTCCTTTGGGTAGTGAAGGACAGGATATAAATCCAATCTCTTCTCTCTTCTTCCCCACAGAAAAAATGAGAAAGAGTAGAGATCTTTTTGTCTTCTCATGACTTTTCTGCTCCTTGCAGATATTCCAGTGATCCCTGACTTGGAGGACGTTCAGGAGGAAGAACTAGCCATGCGGGTGGCAGCTCCACCAAGGTAACAGCAAGATCCCAAATGCCACAGGAATCCTTTGGCAGATTTATTAAGTGAATCTGTTTCTGCCGCATTCAAATGTTGTGCCATGCATCGTGGTTTCTTGAGAAGGTAGACGGGGCTTTTATAAGTAATAACTGGGGATGGTAAACAGTTATTTTGCCTGTATGGAGGGAACAGCTGCCATGGATTTTGTGTGCATACAAAATACAATATTAAGTGGCCTTTCATTAAGGTCAGGTCTGTCCATATGGCAGTTATGGGTTATGAGTCTAGGGAGGAGAGGACATGGAGGACTTCAGCCTGGTTTCTCACTCTATTTCCCAACTGCAGTATCCAAGTGAACAGAGTGCTTACCTACCGTGACCTGGACAATGACCTCATGAAATACGCTGCTTTCCAAACCTTGGTGAGTGCAGACAAACGGAATTCTACACTCTGCCTAATTCTTCCTTGAAGAAAACAACAATCTATTGTCCCCAAAGCTGGACATCTCAGCACTACTAGGATGTCCCTCTTTTTGTAGTGCAACAGTACCTGGAACACGAGACGGAAATGTCCTTACGGGCCAGCTGCTTGCTCTATTCTCAGCAGTTCCTGTTGAGGCATCTTTGAGTGTTTCTTCCCACTCTTCCTTCACTAAAGTGTTGTGGTCATTTCAGTTCATTAGCAGAGCTCACATGAACACATGAAGCCATCTTGTACTGAATTAGACTCTTGGTCCATCAAAGTTAGTGTTGTCTACTTGGACTGGCAGCAGCTCCAGGGTCCCAGGTAGAGGTCTCTCACCTGACACTTTTAACTGGAGATGTTGGGGATTGAACCTGGGACCTTCTGCATGCCAAGCAGATGGTCTACTACTGAGCCACAGCTCCCATTCCCACTGGTTTTAAGCACCCTTAGGTTTCTTTGTTGTTGTTCAGTCACACAGTTGTGTCCAACTCTTTGTGACCCCATCACGCCAGGCCCTCCTGTCCTCTGTCGTCCTCCAGAGTTTGCTCAACTTCATGTTTGTTGCATTGATAACACTGTCTAACCATCTCATCCTTTGCCGTCCCCTTCTTTTACCTTCAATCTTTCCCAGCATCAGGGTCTTCTCCAGTGAGTGCTCCCTTCTCATTTGGTGGCCAAAGTATTTGAGCTTCAGCTTCATTATCTGGCCTTCCAAGGAACTGTCAGGGTTGATTTCTTTTAGGATTGACTGATCTGATCTCCTTGCAGTCCAAGGGACTCTCAAGAGTCTTCTCCAGCACCATAATTCGAAAGCATCTGTTCTTCGGCACTTGGCCTTCCTTATGGTCCAACTCTCGCAGCCATTCATTACTACTGGGAATACCGTTGCTTTGACCATACGGACTTTTGTTGGCAAGGTGATGTCTTTACATTTTATTATGCTGTCTAGGTTTGCCATAGCTTTCTTCCCAAGGAGCAGGTGTCTTTTAATTTCATGGCTGCAGTCACTGTCTGCAGCAGGGCTCTTTTTGTAGCAAGAACTCCTTTGCATATTAGGCGACACGCCCCTAATATAGCCAATCCTCCAAGAGCTTACAGAGCTCATTTTACAGGGCCTAATGTAAGCTCTTGGAGGATTGGCTACATTAGTGGCGTGTCACCTAATATGCAAAGGAGTTCCTGCTACAAAAAGAGCCCGCAGTGATCTTGGATCCCAGGAACGTGAAGTCTGTCACTGCTTCCACGACTTCCCCTTCTATTTGCCAAGGAGTGATGGGGCCAGATGCCATGATCTTAATTTTTTTGATGTTAAGTTTCAAGGCAACCTTTGCGCTCTCCTCTTTTACTCTGAGCAAGAGGCTCTTTAGGTCCTCTTCACTTTCTGCCATTAGAGTGATATCGTCTACATATCTGAGGTTGTTGATGTTTTTCCTGGCAATCTTAATTCCGTTTTGTGATGCATCCAGGCTGGCATTTTGCATGATGTACTCTGCATATAAATTAAATAAGCAGGGTGACAATATACATCCTTGTTGTACTCCTTTTCGTATTCTAAACCAATCAGTTGTTCCATATCTGGTTCTGTCACTTCTTGACCCTTATACAGGTTTCTCAGGAGACATGTGAGGTGGTCTGGTACTCCCATCTCTTTAAGGACTTGCCATAGTTTGTTATGATCCACACAATCAAAGTCTTTAGCGTAGTCAATGAAGCAGAAGTAGATGTTTTTCTGGTACTCTCTTGCTTTCTCCATAATCCAGCAAATGTTGGCAATTTGATCTCTAGTTCCTCTACCTCTTCCAAACCCAGCTTGTACTTCTGGCAGTTCTCTATCCACATACTGCTGAAGCCTATCTTGTAGGATCTTGATCATGACCTTGCTAGCGTGTGAAATGAGTGCAATTGTATGATAGTTTGAACATTCCCTGGCATTGCCCTTCTTTGGGATTAGAATGTAAACTGACCTTTCCCAATCCTGTGGCCATTGTTGTGTTTTCCAAATTTGCTGGCAGATGGAGTGCATCACTTTAGTAACATCATCTTTTAAGACTTTGAGTAGCTCAGCTGGATTACCATCACCTCTGGTAGCTTTGTTGTTAGTAATGCTTTCTAAGGCCCATTTGACCTTGCACTCCAGGATGTCTGGCTCGAGGTCAGTGATTATACCCTCGTGGTTGTCAAGGACATTGAGGTCCTTCTTGTATAGTTCTTCTGTGTATTCTTGATATTTCTTCCTAATCTCTTCTGCTTCTGTTAGGTCCTTAACGTTTTTGTCCTTTTGTGCTTTAGGTTTCTACTTAGGAGCAAAGACTGGGCATTGTAACTATTGCAAATAAAAGGCTATCCTGCCACTGTAACCACAGAGCGTGCATAAAAGGGCTTTTCAAATACTAGCATCCCATGATTCCTGTGGGAATTGTTTTTTTTTCTTTCCTGAAGTACATCTCAACAGTTGTTCTGTACCACTGACTGTGTATGCTTTCATGTTTATAAGCACATGTACCCTTGGGGCTTACCCTCTTATGTGTCGGATGTGTCCATCCCTTCCTTCTGTTGGAACTGAACTCTGGTTTCTTATGTACTCACAGGATGGAGATATTGACCTAAAGCTCCTTACTAAAGTTTTGGCCCCAGAGCAGGAAGTGCGAGAGGTAAGTTTATCCTGGACCAAAGCAGGAGACAATATGTGTTTACCTATGCTGCTTTGCTTCCGGTATTCACAATTTTATTTATTTTGTTTTCTCCCTGGTTGTTCCTATATTGTTATTTGCATGTTTCCTACCCTTACAAACCTCCTGTTCTGGTATTGTGTGCAATTCTTCTGAGTAATTAAAAAAAAATCCTTGAATATGCACAAGCATTTCTGCCCAACCTCACAAAAATACAAAAGTAACTTTGAAACTAGACATTACTTTTACATGAGTTCACCGAGCTGCAGCTGCAAATCCCAGTGGCAACTCCTGTGTAAAAAGTGCGGATGGGCCCAGTTCTGATTGGGAATGTGGTGTGAGGGGAGGAGAGGCTCTTGCCTCATCCCTTCCATGTGTGTTCAGCAGTTGAAAAAACCAGGGGGCCACTGGTGAGGTGTTATTTGCCAATGGACAGTCTCCTCCCGGATGTTCCTGTGCACCAATTGCAGTCTTTGGGCTGTCACCTGCTGACTGTTCCCCTGCTTAGAGTGGCCCATTTGGCATTGATCAGAACCCAGGCCTTTCCCATCATGGCTCCGGCTCTGTGGCATGGGCTCCGGAAGAGGGGAGGGGAGCCCCCTCATTGGAGATCTTCAAGAGGCACTGCAAGACTTGCCTGATGGGCTCTGAGCAGCAGACATCTTGCTGGGGGGGGGGTGTCTCTTATTCTATCTGGTTTCAATCTGTAATATTTTAATTGTCTTTTGTAAACTGCCTTGAGCCAGAAGGAAAGGCAGGGGTATAAATGTTTAAATAAAATAAATAAAAATAAAGAAATGTGGTAAAACTCCAACTATAGATATGACACCTCTCTATTTTATTACATACATTAGTCTAACCCTGTATCCTGTAGAAGCTTGGAAGAAATGAATTAGACAACAATTTTTAAAATCTGTCTTAATTAACGCTTCTCGTGCCATGTAACGTGCTAAAATGTATAAAATGGAAAAGTGAATTTTAGACGCCGTGGAAATAGTGAACAAGCAGGATGGTTTGAAAATGGCAGAGACGGAAACCCACACAATGAAATGTTCAAGCCTCCTAGAAGTGTTTGGTTTCTTGCACCTCTGACAAGATAGCCTGCTTTCTGTCATTTGGTCTGCTTAACAGTGTTTAGAGACTTTTCTCCATTCATTATTTCTTTTCTTTTGACAGGATGATGTCAGCTGGGACTGGGATCATCTCTACACAGAGGTGTCTTCAGAGCTTCTGAGCGAGTGGGACCTGGGACAGGCTGACAGGGAGGAGGCTCTCACCCCCACTTAGGCTTCGGTTGGTGGGTGGCGCTGCTGCTAACCACAAAGGCACAACTGTAGATTATAAGCACATTTTTAAAATATATGCTTTGTGTTTGAGGTGTTATTTTGGTCCACATAATAAAGGGAAGCACTGGCTTCCTCAGAAGAATGGTTTAATAGAACTTGTCAGAGATTGATATATTTTTCTTTAATTATTTTTTAGTGTACACAATAAACTACCTATGAAATAAAGTATTTGCAGGGGAGTGTAGACTGTGCACATAGTAGAGGAAGCAGGAAGATGCAACAAAAGCTGTACCACATGGCACAGTCCTTCCTCAGCTTTGGTTGTGCACTAAGACTGCAAATTGGGGGCACAAGATGTTTTCCTGCTATGAACCCCACTGTTGTTTTGAGCCCCAGCTAGGGGTGCTCACTCAGTATATATCGAGCTGAATAAATATCTGAAAAATACCGCAAAGAGTCAAATTCAACTATGCAACTGAACAACAACAAAAATTCAGCAACAAAAATAGTCACGCATGAATAAAAACTGATATTATATGTTTGTGAATCTGATATTATTCAGTTTTTATTGGCTTTTATTCTGGCACAGCTGAATGCATTCAGTTTGCTTGCTGAGTCAGGCTGCCGTGGCAGTGCAACTCAGAAAGCGAACTGGATAGATTTATCTTTAAATGCCTCCAGTTCACTTGCCAGGTTACACTGCCACTGCCACACGACTCGGTGAGTGAAATTCTCCATTATACCCTATGTTGTGAATCTGGTTGCAAAAATAGTAAGAAGTAATAAATAAAAATAAATTATACCCTGTGGGAGGGTCCCCATAGGGTATAATGGAGCCAAATAAATTCGGGTTTCCTGAATATTTACCTGAATACCAATACAATCCTGTATTCGGGAATATTTAGGAATACTGATATTTTTTGGGTCCAATAGACCTGACTCGTTAAAAAAAATTATTTTTTTTGGCAAACCTCTAGCCCCAGCTGATCATGAAAGATCGAGTTGCCTGCCTGTGCTACCATATGTCATCAGGAGACATATACCTTACATACACATCTGTTTAAATGGAGCCCTCTTTCCAGTTTTGCTCAAAATCACACTAGGCTAGCCTAAGCATAAGGAAGGAGAAGAAGAAGAGATTAGATTTATACCTCGCCCTTCACTACCCGAAGGAGTCTCAGAGTGGCTTACAATCCTCTTCCCCTCCCCACAACAGACATCCTGTGAGGTAGGTGGGGTTCAAAGAGCTCTCTTGAGAACTGCCCTTGAGTGATCAGCTTTGAAAGAACTTATGACTAACCCCAGGTCACACCAGCAGCTGCATGTGAAGGAGTGGGGAATCAAACCCAGTTCTCCCAGATTAGAATCCGCACTCTTAACCACTACACCAAACTGGCTCTCACCTTCCTTCTGCTGTCTCTCATTCTTAGGAACTGCTGGCTTAGTTTTGGTTTAAGTGACTGTACCCAATCTAGCAAAGACCAATACAAGGGCAATCAAGGGATCTTTGACAAAGTGATACAACTTTCAGAATGTGTTCTTGATTAGGGTGACAGGCTCTAGCTCTAGTAACATGATCAGGGGCTTGAATGGGGGGGGGTTCCGCCCCGCCCCCCCAGCCAGGACAAAAGAGGAGAATCCATGTGAGGTAAAATGTATACTCCCTGATTGGCTGGAGAGTATTTCCAAGTAAGGAAGAAGAAGGCAGGCCTCTTGATTGGGAAGAGGTTTATTGGACACAGTCTTTGGCCTGTTGCAGAATTAGTTGTACCAATTCTGAGCATAGGTGAGGAGTCTTTTTTTTTTTTAATACCCTCCGTAAAAATTCCCTGCAAATAAAAATTAACACAACAGAATGAAAGCCTCTAGCTTTGCACTTTGCATGCTGTTCCAGTTTTCTAATAATTAAACTTCCATGTGCACGGAAATGTTGAAAATTGCCATATCTCCTCTGTATCCTGAAGTGTTCTAGTCCATTCTACCACCTTTGCCACCTCATTCTGCTGCCTAAATTAGTTCACTGAACTCGGATTTGTGATGGGAAATTCTGTAGTCCAAATTAGCCGAGTTTGGATGAAGAGGTTTTCGCTGGTGAATCCTAATGTGGGCTGTACTTTTTTCTAAGGTCTGGTTTGTGTTTCTAAGTTGGCCAGATCCTTTACACTAAAGAACTCTTGACTAATGACTGGGAGATCCTGGTCAATGGACTGAGGGCTGAGTAAAGGGAAAGGCTTGTTTCTTTCTGAAGCTGCTTTTGTTCCTAGTGGACATGAAGAAATTATGCAGAATTGCACCTGATTCTACGCCTTCTCTGCTGGCCCTCAGGCTTTGTGTTGTAGGTGGCCTGAAAACTCAATTTCTGGGCTTCGTGACTAGCAGAAAGGAGATGGTCAGTAAGATGGAATGGGGGAAAGAGATTCTAGAAAGTTCTAAGATTAGCACAAGTGAGCTTCCTCTGGCAGCTGCCAGCATAGCCTCTGTTCCCAAGGGAACTGCAACAATGCATGCCCTGTACTGAGAGCCCTTTGTGGTCCACAGAAAAAATCAGGAAAATCAGAAAAAAACAACAACTGCAAATTATACCTATTGCATTGAGATAGATCAAGTTGGGTAGCTGTGTTTGTCTGTCTGTAGCAGTAGAAAAGAGCCAGAGACCAGTAGCACCTTAAAGACTAACAAAATATGTGACAGGGTATGAGCTTTCATGACTCTCAAAAGCTCATAGGTCAAGGTAAAGGTTCCCTTGCTCGAAAGCCAGTCGAATCCGACTCTAGGGTTGCGGTGCTCATCTCCGTTTCAAAGCCGAAGAGCCAGCGTTGTCCGAAGACGTTTACGTGGTCATGTGGCCGGCGTGACTAAACACCAAGGCGCACGGAACGCTGTTACCTTCCCACCAAAGTGGTACCTATTTATCTACTTGCAATTTCTTGCTTTCGAACTGCTAAGTTGGCAGGAGCTGGAACTAGAGACGGGAGCTCACCCCATCTTGCGGCCCCCGGGTCTTGAACTGCTGAACTACTGACCTTCCACAGCCTGCAGTACAGCGTCTTAACCACTTGAGCCACCGCAGCTCCACCAAAAGCTCATACCCTGCCACATATTTTGTTAGTCTTTAAGGTGCTCCTGGACTCTGGCTCTTTTCTACTATTGCATTTTTTACATTGCATCATTCATTGAATGCCCTGTTCCTATTGATTGTATTGACTCACTCTGTGTAATCTGTCTTGATTCTCACCTGAGTCCAAGTGAGAAAGGTGGACTATAAATAACGTAAATTAATAATTTTTTGCATTTGCAAAAGAGCTGTGGTGCAGCAGGACTTCTTGCCAGGGGCTCTGTGGTTGCTTTGCTTGTTATATCCATTAGGATCATGCATTAAGACCCATTAGGATCGTGCATTAAGTCTCGGCTGTACATTCTGACAGTCTGCATTCTTAGAACTGTCACTTTTTAACCAAGGTATTTGTCCCTTAAAAACATTAAGGGGGGAGGTGATGTTAGATTTGAACTATCCTTCATTTGCATATACAAGGTTTTAAATGTGCTAGAAAACCCAGCCTGTCGCTGAGCACAGCAACCTATTTTGCATGGGCTGCTGTTCACTGACATGCCTTTCCCCCTCTTCTACCTTCTCTTCCACCAAGACCCACATAGGCTCACGTCCATACCCAACTTGAAAAGATTTTCATTAAAATTCAGAAAAACAAAGTAGCTAAGTTCCTCAGATGCACACCTGGAAACCTCAGAGCTCTACACAGAGAAAAAATGTGTATTCCAATTCTTAATTATAAGCTGAGGGACTTACGGGTGTAGAAACGCTGCCTTTCTCTTTTACTAGGGTCAAACTCAGGTATGCTCCGCTCTCCTGTTTAGGTGGTATCCTGCTGTGGAAGTGCTTGCTGTTGTTTGTCACTCCCAACTCTTTGCATTCAGAAACCTGAAGGGAATTCCTACCTGGAGGATGAGGGCAGAAAGCTCCTCTAGCCTCTGGAGTGAGCCACGGCAGTGACCCCAGACATCTCTATTCAAAGTATGTTGTATGTTCTGGTGATTCCACACCCCCACCCCCACACACACACTGTGCAT